AAGGAAGATCTGTGAACAAGGGATGGAAATACAGTTATGATGCTAGAAAAGAGGTAGGTAGAAATTCTATTGAGGTTGTCAAGGTATGGTTGCAGTATCAGAAGCATGGAGCAGACTTTAGAGAGCAGTTGACGTATGGATTAAGACTTGAAAACTTTCAAAAATTTACCCACCACATGGAATTATGTGAGAAGGATGGGGATGGGTTAATGAAAGAGGGAACAGCTTTGGTAAAAACTCAGATATAAAATTATTATAGTTGCATACCCAAAGTACAGAAGTCAGAAGAGGTTAAAATAGTGAATTGAGCAAGTGTTACACTGTGACTGTTCTTGCATAATATATATGAGAGAATTTAAACTTTATCCTAGAGGTCAGTGAGTCCAAATCCTGACTGCCGCTTAAAACCATCTATGGTCTAGTAAAACACAGATTTGTCTAGACCTTCTATAATTCTGATTGATAATCTTATAAAACATCGGGAACCCGGGAACCCTGGGAAAGTTGTTTTTTTTTTTTTTTTAAGATTTATTTATTTATTTATACAAGCACTGGGTGCAGTCAGAAGCGCAGGAGGGTGAGAAAACTCACCAGAGCCAGAGCGGGGAGCAGAGCAGGCAGAAGGACCGAAGTACACTGCTGAGGGGAGCAGCGGGCGGCAGGAGAGGTCTGTGCGCCATGCGGGACCCTCCTCTGGTGCCGGGGAGCAGCCTGGGATTGAACCGGCGCTGCAGAGGCCGCAGGCAGCTCCGCAACCCGGCGCTCAACCGCTGCGCCACCGGGGAGGCCCAACCCTGGGAAAGTTTTAAGCAGAGAAGTAAAATGATCAGATTTACATTTTGAAAGGTCAATTTTTAACTTTCAAACTTTTGACATTGTGCTTGTCATTAATACATCTTACATTACGATTCAGTGCACTTACTAGACACCTATGAAAGATTCATGAAACATGAATCGAGTAACATGAAACATCTGACTGGTATTTATTGTTCCAGCTAGATATTTTAGAATGCTGGTTCTAAGCCACTGAATTGATTTTTCAACTCATTAAATTGGTTTCATGATCTGCTGATGAGTCATAACCTGCAGTTTGAAAAAATATTGCTGTGGTGTGGTGAGTGAATCGAGTTGTGTAAAACTGAAAGGCTGAAGCTCTGATGGACAATAAATTCCTTTACCCTGGTGCTGGATTATGTAGACTTGAACTAGGACAGTGGCATTAGCAGGTGCAGAAAAGATGGGAGAAAAATTCAAGATGTGGAATCAGTTCTCAGTGACTGGTTCTTTCTAAAGGTTGAGGGAGGTAAGGGAATCTGATTTCCAGCTTTTTACTTTGATTATTGGATACTTGTGTTGCTCTTAAGTAATATGGAGAACACAGGAGACGGATTGATGAGGGCAGGTTTTGGGGTAAGTAGATATATCTAAAAGGCAGTTGGATATAGCAATAATTTTTTTTCCATGTCATATTCCTTTGAATAAATGTTTTTATTTTCCTCCTTTTTCTTGTTGAAGTGCATACCCCAAGGCGCTCTCTTCTTTGATACAACATATTTTCTTTTTCATTTGCTCTAGTATTTTTATGTGGATTATCCTAAAGTTTTCCCTCTATACTACAGGGTCCTATGCTATAAGGTGACATCAATCCATTTTTTCCCAGGATATCTGACCCACCCAAAATGAAGCATAGGATAAACATTTTTCTTTCTTCCAAACCACATCATCCTTTCTTCATCTGTAGAGGTGGTAATCTTGTATTTCTCACCTTTCTGCTTGTTACCAGTCTGTATTCCACATCTTCTTGGGCATTAATTCTGTTGTATTCTGATATGTAACTAAATAAGTGGTGTTGTAAGCAATGCAAAGGTACAAATTGAAAGTCAGCTGACTGTCCTCTTGAACTTAATGATCATTTTGTTGCCGCTGTGATTCAGTTTTATAGACCAGATCTAGTCACTGTCTGAACTATTCAGTTTCTAAGTGTTAGGATTTAGGGAAGAATTTAGCCAGGCAGTTCTGATTTGAAATCTCTCATTAAGTAATCTGAGGTGTTTTGGGGATTGAAACACAATGGGGGAGGGGTGAAGGACTGGAACACAGAAGAGGGGCTTTTCCCACTTCATTAGTCTCAAGTCCTCCCATATTTCATCTTTCTGAGTAGGTTAGTTTGGTTTTCTCTCAGGGAGTTCTGTCTGCTTTAGTATAGTTTAAGACTGCAGGGGGCCTCCCCTGGTGGCGCAGCGTTTGAGCACTGGGTTGCGAGGCTGCCTGCAGCCTCTGCAGTGCTAGTTCAATCCCCGGCCACCAGCGAGGGTCCCACAAAAAAACAAAAAAAAAAAACAAAAAAACCCCAAAAAACCCTGCAGGAATGACTATTGCTGCTTCTCACGTGGAAATTGTACCTTTCTTTCATACTTAACCTTACAAGTTACATAGTGTTACTTTCCCCATGGTCTTAGCCACAAGCAGGTAGCAAAATTGCCTAGATTCAAAGAATGAGATGAGAGATTGGTAAGGCTCTAGAAGAAAACGTGGGATGACAAGTATTTTGAAGACAGTCTGGATCAGCTATGTAGAAAATTATGAATGCCAACATATAGCTCTTTAGTTTTGCCTAGAGTTTGCTGCCTTATTGGTACTGTTTCTTCAGTCTTCTAAAGACCAACTTACCTTTTATGATTTAACTGTCTACATCTTGTTTAATCTCTAAACTTGAATAATTTGATTTCTCTGTAGCAGAATTAAGTATATAGTTATTAAGATGCTTTAGCCTGAGTGTGAGATTTCCCTGGTGTGCGTGATGGTTCAAAGTGGCCAGCTTCTGGTAATGGGTCATTTGAATTACAAGTTATCTTGCATGTTTTCCTAGAGCAGTTCTAGATTCCTATCTTTAAAACTCTAAATGACCCTTTTACCTGTTGAATAGACTGTTGAAAGTTTCCTAAATTTCTGAAAATACATTTTCACCCCAACTGCTAAGTTCCTTGTTAGACCTTAGGCATGGTTGCATGAAATTGGTTAAATGATACTGTTCCCTATTTCATATCCTTGCACTTTTTTATTAGTAAAAAATTAATCTGACAAGGCACTTCTTTCTTTAAATATGTTCATTATTATTTTTAGAAATAAGCTCCTATCATCTACTCATGTATTTTAATGGATAAAGTTGTTTCATTCCAAATTGTACTGGCATGCTTGAATTGTGCCTAATAAATATCATTTCATAATCTGCTGACATAAATATCAATTCTAACTGTAGTTCCGAAGTTCTACTTTATAAATATAACAGGCAGTAAAGCAACCCCTGAAATAAAGAACAAAAATTTATATGGATAATTCCTCACCCCTTACCCCCATTAATGTGTTATTTCATAGAGGAGTATCACAGTTTGCCTATATTGAAGAAGGTCTATCTGGAATAGTCATTTAGTGTAGTGCTGTTTAGAGTATTATAACCACTTGATGGCACCCTTTGATTTGGTACAAACTCATTAGCCATACTATAGTGCAGTGTAGTATTTGTAATGGAATAACACATAAGAACTAAAGACTGCAAGGTATCTGGCTAATGTAGAGATGAAATGAATGCAACAGCAAGGCTAAGCTTTCCTGACCCTTCATGAGAGAATAGATGAAAAAAGGAAGAATAAGCTATTGTGCCAAAGGGAGATGATGAAATTCAAGATCCACACACATAATCTCTAGCTCAGCCTCTGAAATGTTAATCCCTGGGTAGAATTATTTGAGCTATAGATTGCAATTTATCATCAAAATGGCACTGTGTCAAACAATACTTTTTATATGTGTGATGTTTAGAGCGATCCAATTTTAATATAAAATGGTTCACAGAGCACTGGCTAATATTTAAGTAGACTCTTTAAGGTTGTGATTTTGGGAATGGAGTGGGGTGGTTACTTTACTTCAAAATGCTAATTGTATTTAGATTGATGGCTTTTGGGAATCTTTTCTGCTTTTCTTTTAGTGCCGGTTTAGTTTTAGTGCCAGGAAATAGGATTTTAAATGCTTCTTGTTAAATTAAGTAATTAAGAATTGTTTTCTTTTACATGCTAAGAATATTTTTATAATCATAGAATAACTAGAGAATAATTCTGTAGTTTTTTTTCTGATGAGGCTTAAAATTGCTCTAGCTCATGAAATAGTGTTTATCTGAATATTTTTATTTCAATATTGTAACAAATATGTATAGATTTCCTCAATTTAAATCACTCAACTGCTTTCTAAGGAGTGCTATCATAATTGGGGTTTGTTTGTAGTATTTCTTTAAGAATCATATTCTCTTGAATAAAAAGACTATAATAGTGTAGGTGGGAAAGGGATATTGCATATGTCTATTTATCATTCAGAGTAACAGTCACATTGTAAAATTTCCCATGTAAAAAAAAAATCTAACCTTATTTTTTAAAAGATCAGAATGCTCAAGTGAAATATAATCTAGAATTTAGAGGTTGAAATTACAGTTCAACTACTTTTCCTTTTTACTTTATCATTCCTATTTTTAAGAGGCTTCTTTTACAGTCCTCTAATTAAGAAAGGCAATTATTTTCTGTTTTCTTAGTAAGACATTATTTTACTGAACTTTATATTTAGATTTTTTGTACCTATTTCCAACAGAGTGATCTCTAACAAAACCTATGTTTAATTAGATCATATGATTTTAGTACCTGATTGTGTATGTTGAAGGCATGCTGTGATCCTATATTAGATGCTGCTATATAGATTTGTGAAACATCACTCATTTGTGCATGGCTAATACCATTTTGCCATATTTTAACTCTGATGAGAAAAAATATTTGACTTAGTTGTAGTGGGGAAAGTAGGAGGAGTCATTGTGAAAAGCCTGTCTTGTGGAAATTGCTTGACTTTGACAGCTGTTTCCCTTTAGTGCTCATGAGGAGTAAAGAGTGAGATCTAGAAGATCTGTGAAGACCAGAAGTTATGCATATTTGAGCACTTTATAAATCCATTCAGTAACAGCATAGAGTAGTCCTCAGGCTGCTGCCATTAATACAAGTGTTCTGTGAGGTGAGTAGTCATTACAAACTGCTTTTGGAGGAGAGGGTTCTGAATGTACATTGGAAAGATACACATATATATACTAGATAAAGAGCTTGGGGCTCTTAACCTGATGATATCCATACGTAAGTATTAAAAAGTTGCTTCATCCATTTACGTAATTATATCTGTTGACATTTTCACTTAAATGCCACATTTTCAAATGTGACACTTTTTCAACTATGTATCCTCCCCTTAACCCACACCCCCAAAGGACTACTCCATGCTTTCTGTTTCTGAGGACCTATTTTATAAAGGGCAGGCAGTACTTCAAACATGCACAACTTTTGATTTCCATAGGTGTGGCTCAGGATCTCACTCTTAACTCATTATGATAACTTTAAAAAGATAGCTGCCAAAGTCAAGACTGCAGTAACCTTTTGAGTTACCTTGCTGATTCCACACAGAGTGCCAATGCATACATCTTCCAACCCACTGCACTGGCAATCTCATACTCAATTGTCAAATACAGTGTTCCAACCTGGTGCCATTCAGCATACACAAAACTGGTCAATGTCCAACTTTATCCAGCCACCCACACTAAATCCGAAACCTTGTGATGCTGTCATAGATGCCTGCAGGGCACACTCCTGCAAACTCAAAAAAAAAAAAAAAAAAAAAAAAACCAAAAAAACAAACAAAAACCCATGAGATTGTTAAAACTGCTAGGGAAAAAACTTTATGGTGCCAACAACCTGAAGTTTACTTGTTTTCTTAGTACCTTCTTTAATTTGCTATAGGGTGTCAGTAAACAAAGTTTGATAGGAAAAGTGTATTTTATACTTCTTGGTGTTCCCACATCCTTCTAGTTTTATAGGTCTTATTAAATAGGTTTCAATGGGCCAGTCTTTGAAACAGTGCCCAAATGAACATTTATATTTCAACTGTAGCAATAGAATGCATTATTGATGAGTGACCTTTTACCCTGACATAGTATATAGTCTTGTGACATTGAATGAAATAAATGAAGAAACTGCTCCTTGGCTTGATTTGTATTGGCAGAAGAAAGCAAACAGAGTGGTTTGTCAGGTTGCTAAAAGTGTCAAAATATAGTCTGGGACAATTTCTAGCACAAAGGTTTTTTTTTTAAATTTTTTCTTGTTTTGTTTTTTAAATAATGTGTGGGTGGTTGGATGTTCTTTGAAAAAACCAATTTTGAAAGAAAATTGAATTCCAACAATACTTATATCAGATTAATAATAGCAGGTAAATTTTTTTATTTAAAATTATATTTCATTAGTCAGATGCTTGTTGATGACATGTTTTAACATTAAAGTTTTAGAGAATTTCATATTTTACAGAAAAAAGTGTTAATTTGTATATATATTATATGACTGGTGATGTATGATTAAAAGAAATAAGGCTCTATCCTTCTATACACCTTTCTTATGTTGCAGTTTTAGTTATCATTCATTTTAAGTACTTTTTGTTTCTCAGTGCAGATATGGGTTTTTTAATTCAAATAATCAAATCACAGGTATTTTCAAGTGGAAGGAGGCTTAGAAATCATAAACGTTCTCCTCCTTCATTTTGCAGATAAGGAAACTAAGGTATCATGATCTAGTAACTAGCCCAAGGTCATGTTGCTAATGAAAAGCAAACTACTCACTTCCATTCATTTTCTTTACTTCCACTCCGAGGTTCTACCTACCAGCCTTCATTGTTTCCATGTTTATGATAACATGATTTTAAATGTTTGCTTATTTTATCTCTTCAAATAGAACATAATTCAGTTGTTTTTTTTTAAATTGATTTATTATAAGAAAAAATAATTCATAATCAGAGGTGTATTAGGTAAAGATCTAATTTACAGAGGTAGATTATTTGATAGTAATTAAACAAAACAAGACAAGACCAAATACCCAGCAACCACACCCTGATTATTCATTTATATTCAGTGCATAAACCACTTGCTTCAGATCATGTGTATGTACTAACTACATTCTAAAGTTTAAAGCCTTATTTATTTGTAAGCTTTGCTTAATATTTTTATAAAATAAGTTTATTGTATATACTATAAATGCTTTAGTTTCATTTTAAATAAATATTTCCTATTTATATTTTATTTTATTTTTATATTTTATTTCATTTTAAATAAAAGATGATCAATGTAAAAATGAAAATTTTATAATTATGTAAAAATATCTCAAACTTTTAAAGTAAGTTGTGATATCAAGTTTGCTAGGTAACACATTTGTAGTTAGTTTTAATTAAACTTTGTAAGAGGTAAATTTTTAAAGAAGTTAATAACATATATACAAATAACCATTTTAAGTTTAATTTATGGTGATTGAAATATAGTTTTATACTTATAAATTATTAAAATAAAGATATAGAGAAATATTATTTCATCAGTAATAGTGACCAGATGGTTTTTAGTAATATGATAGTTGAGACATCAGAACTAGAGATTGCTTTCAAATAGGATTATTTTTCTGTGGGCCCTTTGGTGTAGTAGGCATGCTAAGGTAACATCATCAGAAGGGTGGTGAACCCTATACTTCCAAAATACAAATAACAATATAAATCAGTGTTACCTCAAATAAATAAATAAGATTTTTTAATGTTAATATTTAAATATTTGTCCTGGCATTCAAAAAATATCACTCAGCAGCAGTGCTTATTCCTGCATATTGCTAATAACTAACTAGAATTTTGCTTGTAAAGCATTTTGCTTCAGGATTTCTGAATACAGTTGTGTTGTACCCAACCTTTTCCTTACAATCTAGGTACAACATTGTATACTTTGTTATATATAGGTTAAACTTGGATTAATGTTGGTTTACAAGTGCTACTTACAGGGCATTATTTCAGATCTCTGCTTAATTTAAGATATGTCAATTGCTGCAGTTAATTAAAGTGCTACATGTGCTGCTGGCTAAGCCAATTTAAAGAATAGGGCGTGTATTTCTAGTTATGTGAGCTACAGAATGATTGTTCCTTAGCATGAGATCTGTCCGTGTAAGCCAGTAATGTCTTATAGTTCAGATACATGATAGTTAATATTCCTTTCTCCTTTCAAATCCTCCCATCTTTTTTTGCCTATTTTTGGAGTGACAGAAATCTAAGTTTGTATGACTGATTTCTACACTTAGAATGATGTTTTACAAATAGTAGATCCTAAATGAGTTTTTGAAAAATAAATTTGTCATTTATATACCAAACTTAGGGATTTTCTTTTAATTTCATTCACCTTAACATTTTACACAACAGACTAGTCTCTCCCTGCTAATTTTAGGTTACCTAAGGATAGGGAGGCGAGATATATATATATATATATATTTGTAGGCATATAATACCTAGCATAATGCTGTGCACTTAAAATAGCCAATAAATGGGTGAATGAGTGTCCACTTTATTCCATTCTCAATAAACTTGGATGAAACATTTAAGCTCTACTAACAACATTGTTCTTAGTTTCATGCTGAAGAAGACATCTGTTGTTATAGATTCTGTGAGTCACAAGTGTTGTGAATAATGTGCAAATCAAATTGATTTGTATTTATCTTTTCTGTTCTTTAGAATTTTTTCATTAGAGCTTAGTGGAGCTTTAAAATTTTTATTGTACAACCAACATGATTATAATACTGGAAATACTAAAAAGAAAAATTATCCATAATCCCATCATTTAAATAAATTAACTGATTTTAGCATTGTTTTTTGTTTTAAACATGTTCACGATGTACCTTTTTTTAGGTTGCTATTCCTTGTTTGCATTTATAGTATATTAAATTCATAATTAGTGTTGTCACTTTACTTGTTTATTTATAAAAGAAAATAAAATATCTTCCAACATCCAATACCCTCCTTCAACCTTAATCCCAACCCCACCCTATACACCTCAGTTTGGTTATTAATGCCCATTAATTATTTTGCTTGGACTATCCACTTTGTTTTCTAACATTGCATGTAAAGATGAAATTATCCAATATTTACTTTTATATTTTTGACTAATTTTGTTCCACATAATCCACTTGAGTTCCTTTCGTTTTGCTGCAAATGGCAAAATTTCTTCTTTCCTTAGAGCAAAACAGTTATCTCATTGTGTATGTATACCACATCTTTTTTATCCAAATTGCATTTATTTTTAAATAGTCATTCCGCCTGTATCATTTTCAGAATTTTGCGTAAGGATAAGAGAGCAGTTCCATAATAATTGAGTTCTTCTTACACACTCACAGAATTGCTTCCCAGTTGGTGAGCTATGGAGGGACTTCAATTCCTGTTGAAGAAACTCTCGATTTGGAATTTGAGAATAGTTTGACTTAGTGAAAATCTGTAGGACCTGAGATTATTATACAAAGCCCATCATTCACTAAGGCTTTTGGAATGGTCTTGTTAATTCAAGGACAGTTTTGGTGGCTAGATTCATAGTTCAGTTTAGAAGTAAATTTCAGTGGCTACATGTCAACAAGTAGATCATATAAAATGAAAGTGATGCCTGGGGTGTGTGTGGTAAAAATGAAATAAAATTGATGGGAGCTACCTGAGATTGCTCAATTTGATTTGGTGAAAAGGTCTTAATTACCTTTCAGGAGATAGGAGAGAATAAGTCTAAACTGGTGATAATATTTATTTTTAAATAATGGCTCTGTGGTACACATGATCTACTAAAGAAAGGAGGGAAAACTAGAAAACACTAAGTTTTATTATTCTTAGTGAAAAAAAATAATAAAAAGGGTGTGATTTAGTCTGGATTAAAAGTAGCGGTAGTTGCCAAACATATGTTTTAGGAAGGAAGGAACATTTATGAGAGGAAAAGGAATATGTCAGGGGAATTGTCTGTGAGGTTAAACCCTGGATCTGAAGTCTAGCTTACTATATAATATTATCAGGTGGTCCCAGAATATCCAAATCATATGCTACCAGTATTTCTTATCCTTGCATTCACTCCAAATTTTTATCCCCTCTCTAATTTTTTATAAGATGCGATTATTAGCAATTTATGTATAAAATGAAGCTTTGAGAAC